AGAAAGGGTTGTGAGGAAACACTATTATTTATTTACAATCAATGTTAGCACAAGGTCCAAAGTGAGAAAATGAGAATTTGTGGGACTATGCACATTTAGAACAAAGCCAAACATGTCTAAGATACAATTAAAGGCTGCCTTTAAGCCATCACCTACAATGTCGGCATGAATGTTAAAATCCCCCACAATAATGATTATTATTATTATTTAGTATAAGTACTTAACACTAAATCAGAAATGAACTCTGAAATCTGATCTAAAAATTGAGAGTAGAAACCAGGTGGGTGACATAAAGTTACCAATAGAAGAGAATTTGTTGCTTTACAGTTTAGTGTGAGAAACTAAGGGTAAAATGTTCAAAAGAGTTGTAACTAATTGGCTTTGGACTAATCAATAAGTCATACTGAAAGATTGATGCTACTCCTCCTTGCCTAGAAATTCTGAGCATATCAAATTTTAAACAGCTGGAGGGAGTTGCCTCATTTACAGTGTAATTGTAATTGTCTTGTTTCAGCCAGGTTTCAGTAAGTAATTTGATTATCCCATTAGAGTCATTAACTAACAAACTTTTCAAAGAGAAAGAGCTTGTGTTAAATAAACCACATCTAATTGTTAAAATATTTTTCTCAATTTGATTCATTTTAATTTCCATTAAATTATCATGATTTACGCCTTTAGGATTATTTTTTTCTAATTTATTTGTAATGGTAGGGTTACACTAGAGAAGCTGTAGAGAGGTGTTAAACTATTACTCTGCCTAATGGTCTGCACCCTGTCAGGGAAAGCCCCGACATGGCTGTTCACCCATGGAGAGAAATAATCAAAGAAAATGTCAAGGGACCCATGGTAACTGGTGAAGCAATGGAAATCCACACCTCAGGTTAATCTGTTGACTTGGCAGTTATTGTCATGTAGAAATCTGTCCCTTGTAGTGTTGGAAGAAAAATGCAAACGCTCAAAGCAAACATGACAATAAATCAAGACCCCTTGGTGAAACTTTGGGGGTCAGCGGGGAAGCTGGTCACAGTGAATGGGAAGATAATGTAAATGCATAAAAATAGAGGGCGATCTTCAAACAAAACATGCTGCAGGAATAAGGCTAGAGCAGAAGGTTCAAATTCCAGCGGACACCTTTAAATATACAGCTGGAACAAAAATTATGTCCTCGGATGCTCTAGTATTGGCAGTGGTGTTAAAAGTACACACATTTGTTACTTAAGTATAAGTATAGATGCTGCAGTTTAAAAACTCTCTGGTAAAAGTTGAAGTATCAACTTGACCTCTTTACTCAAGTAAAAGTGAAAAAGTATGTGCTCCAAAAACTATTTAAAGTATAAAAGTATAAAGTAACTTTTAAAAAAACAGCCAGATGCCAGTATATGAATTAAAAGCTACATTTTTCTAATTTCAAAAAAAGTCTTTGAGATAGGACCAAGGATGAGGGAGGTCTTGTTGGTCTCCATCTCCCGATACGCTCTCGCCTGTGTCCGACCTTTCAGACATTTTGGCATTTTTTTCTGAATCTGACATTGTAGCATGTCATAGACAATTCACGTTTGC